TTTTTATAATTTAATAATTATATATGATGTATAAAAATTATTTGTATAAATATTATTATATATTAAATGCATATATACAGGCTGAAAATATAAAATTACTTTTTTATATAAACATAAAATCCTTAATCCTATATCTATTGTTACAAGCATTATTTTAAAATATATTTTAAAATTTATTTTATATATTCCTAATAAAAAGAAATTCTTAATAATAAGATATCTATGATAAAATAATAAAAATTATTAATATATATTTTTGAAATTAATAATATTTGTTTCATCTTTTATAATAATAATAACAAATTTATTCAATTACAAGTTCATGCTGATCTATTTCGTGAAAAGTTCTATTGATGTCCTGAACCCATTTCTGTAATCTCTTTTCTTGTTCCATTTTCAATTTATTAGTTTTCTTTCGTTTTATTTCATGTTCAATTGATTCCATTTCCTCTTCTTCACTTTCTTCTTCAGAAAAACTATATTTTACATTACGTTTGCGTTTATATGAATGTCGTGGAGGCTAAAATACATACACACACACATATATATATATATATTAGATTATTGTTAGTAATTTAAAAAAATTTAATTTATTAATAATGACTAAAAATAATATACCTGTGTAAAATGAGATGGTTCAAAATCAGTAAATAATGGAATATTAGACGAAGACATTACAGATGTTCCACCTGTTTCAGATAGAATATCAAATGTATCAGAAAAATTCAAAATATCAATTTGTTTCTTTTTTTCTTTAATAGGTAATTTTTTTATTTCTTTATTTTTAATTAATATATTTTCTTTATTACATATATCTTTCTCTTCTTTTAAATTTTTAATAAGCAATTTATTTTTTATTTCATCAATTGATAATCTTGCAGTAAGTTTTATGTCATGTATAATTACATTTGATTGAACAAATTTTTCTTGTTTGTTACTTTCAATTTTATGTTTAATAGAAGATATCTCTTGATCAGACTCACTATCACTAAAACCAAATGTGTTATTTAATTTTATATTAGATTCATTAACTTTTTTCATTGATTTATTGATTATTGATATTGATTGTGTATCATCAAAAATTCCATGTGGTGTTTTAATTGTTGTGCATTGTGGTAGTTCCATTATATTAAGAAAATTATTTAAATTTGATTGTTTCAGAATTCTTTTCTCATTAAAAATTGAATTACTTTGTAAACCTGATGGTCCAGGTTGAGAAATAAAATTTTCTTTTTGTTCATTAGCTTTTACATTTAATATATTTTCTTGAATTTGTGTGCTAATTATTTCTTTTTTAAGATTTTTTTTTGGACTTAATATACTATTTTTTTTAATTTCCTTATTGTCAAAATTAAATGCATTATTTACATTAGAAGTAATTACACTGATTGATTGTATATTTGATTGAATGTTTTCAGTTTCAATTGGTATATGATCATTTATTTGTTCTATTGAAGATTTAAATTGTAAGGAATGATCAATATTTGTAATTTCTGTACCAAATTTTCTTGAAGTTAAAGGATTTTTCTTTTTGGAAGTATTAACATTTATGTATTCTTCTGTACTTATATTTTCATTATTTTTTTGTAAAGTGTTTTTTGTTTTTGTTATATTTGCAAATTGTTTAGATTCATTTAATGTTCGCACAAGTTTTTTATTAATAATATCATAATTATTATTTTTAGGTGTGCTTTGAAATACATTTTTTACTTGAGAAAATGTAAGTAATGATGCTCTCCAAGGACTGCAGAGCATCTGAGAATTTTCTAATGATTTCCTAATTGGTGATAAAGACTTTTCAAGTAAAGAATAATTAAGTGTATTATTTTGTTGTATTTGTTTATTATTAAAAATATTCGTTGGCCTAAATGGTTTAAAATCATTTGAATTTGATATTTGTGAAGTATCTATTATTGAAATTCTTTTATCACTTAAATCTTTTACTGATATAATTGTAGGTTTTGTAGCTATTTCATCAATAATATGTTCTTTGATTATATTTTCTGAATTCTTCAATTGTTTATTTATTTCTATATTTCGTTTAAGATTTTTTACTAAATTTTCTTTTAAAATATCATTTCTAATATTCAAATGTTCTATAGAATCTTTTTTTTTTGTTTCAAGTTCTACAAAATCTGAATTTTTTATTTCTTCACATTTTTTAATAATTGATTTTTTTTTAGCAATTTGTTTCACAGGAATATTTTTCTTTTTTCTGTTTGTAACTTTTCTTTTAGTAACTATTTTTCTTTTTTGTTTCTTTGGTAATCTTTCATTTGAATCATTAATATCAAACTTAAATTCATATATTTCACTAATATTTTCTTTTTGCTTTTCTGGTGAAACATGTTTATAAATTGGTAATTTCTTTTTATTAATAGATAATTTCTTTGTTGATATACTATTCATAGAATTCTTAGAATTTTTAGAAGATCTTAAAAAATGTATTTTAGATTGGTTCAGAAATGATTCTTTTAAAGACATTTGCTTTGAAATATTTTTTTTTATTCCTGTAATAAGTTTTCTTTTTTTATTTTTTGATTCCTGTTTATTCATTTTGGAATTATTACGTGTAACAATATTTTCTGATTTCATTGTATCATTAATATTTTCCTTAGATAACTTTTTATTTTTTGTAATTTTATGTTTTTCTTTTTGTGTGATTTCTTTAGTTTGTGAAATAGATGTTTTAGCTTTTCTATTTTTTGTCTTTTTGGCTTCAGTTATGGACCTTGTATTCATTATTTCAGTAGGATTTTTCATTTTTGATGTTTTAATAATAATATTCTTAGTTTTCGATGTTATTTTTGACATGATATTTTTTTTTTAATTGTATTTTTTGGAAACTTGCATAGATGAAATATGTTTTTTTATTAAATAAGGAATCATTTGTAAGTAAATAACATAAATCTGAAACAAATTAATTTTTTTTTTTAATCAATGAAATGATAAGGATTAATAATAAATGATAAGAATTATATAGAATAACATATACTTTTTATAATGGTTATTGATTATTAAATTAATATTAATTAAAGGTAAAAATTTCTAATATTAAAAATTAATATTTATAAAATTTATAGATTATATATGTAAATTATTGTAATATAAATTATATATAATATGTAAATTTATATTTATATAAAAATAAATAATAATATAGTAAATAAATTATAATATTTATAATTATAATTATAAAATATATATAATATATATA